ACGCTCTTCTTGTTCCGCTTCTTCTTCTTGTCTCCGGACGCAGCTTCCTTCGGCAGCTTCTTCCCGGCCTTTGGCTTCTTCTCCGCCGCCGCTGCAGTTTCTCCCGCCGGAGCTTTCTCCGCTTTCTTGTCCTCCGCCGGCTTCTTCTCGGCCGGTTTCTTATCCGCCTTCGCCATTACAGTCAGAGAACTCAAATATCAGAGAGGAAGGGCGAAAAGAGATTGAATACGAACTTGTACGGTGACGATGTAAATAGCGTTCTCCTCCTCCGTTTTATATAAAGGATTCAAGAAAGATAAATGAAATTTTGATTGGTGCGTCTACTGAGACGAGGATGAATGACGTGGATGTAGTACAACCGTTGGATTGAAAGTGTTGTTAACGAAGGGATCAGATTTGTTTAGACAGAGCGCCAGTATTTTGGATGTTTAACAAAGGCGCGGAATATCTGCGATTTCAAAATATTTTTGTGAAATTCGAATATAAATTCCGCCTGCCTTTACGTTGTCCGCCAACTTAGAGCCATTGGCTACAATACAAGTGTCCGGATTGATGACGTGTACAAACGCAGTAATAACCGGTCAACCAAATAAATTAATTAAATAATTGTGTTGACCTACACGCTAATCAAAAAACATTATATGATCCAATTAAGTTATAGATCTAATTGTTATTTCCAATAAATACAAAAACTAAGGTTGGTCCATAACAATTTCTGCAAAATGATTATAACAAATATAAAAACTAGGGCTGGGCATTTAAACCCGTTATCTGCAGGTAAGCGGATACCCAATTTCGTGGGTACCCGAAAAACAGGTACTCGGCATCTAACGAAGACGAAAACGAGTATTAAATACTAAAATATCCGTCATACGGATACAGGTTCGGGTTTTATATATTGAAATAACGGGTACCCGCGGGTACCCGCATAAATTATAAAATTAACCTTATATTTTTAATATAATTTCTAAAATACTTAGGTTATTTTTATTTTCCTTTAGAATTATATATTGGATTTTTCAAGTTTTGATAGATTCAACTTCAAATTATTGTGTATATTTTAAAATATTTCTAGGATTCTATGCATGTTATTATATTTTAAGAATTTTTAAACTTAAAAATATATTTTTGGAATAAAATATGTATATTTTTATTGATTATTTGGTTTAATTTTATATTGTTTAATATTTTTTATACGGATACGGGTACTCGCGGGTACTCGTCTTTTAGTTATAGGTATCCGTTGGACGGGTACCCGAATATTATGAGATAGAGACAGAGATAGCATTTCTCTGAAACCCGTGAATACGAAAACGAAAACGGGTATCTCTAAAAATGCGGGTATCCGACCCGTGCCCACCCCTAATAAAAACTGTCCTTTGCTCGTGTACACGCTGTCAAATAATTAAAAGGGGCAAACTTTAACCAAAACAAAGAAGCTTTAGCTACGCACCTTTATAGTCGATACAAAAACCATATTACACTCGAACATAAAAAGGGCAACATTATAATTATCATTGTTAGGGTTTTCGCCTACCTTAAACCCTAATAATAATTACAAAGATGCCCTTATATGCATTCGCGTATATGGTTTTATCTGTATGCAAAATAATTAAAGATTCACGTTTTAATTATACGTTTAGAGTATCGTTAAAATACTAACACCTTAAATGGAAGGGGCAAGCTTTAATTGGCAGACTTCTCGTACGTATTACGTGCTATCAAGAAATGAAATCGACGAACTTTAACTAAAACAAAATCTACGTTTAAATTACAAAAGCCCACGATGTAAAGACAAAACCTTTACACTCGAAAAACACACACATACATATGCCACAAATAAACCATTCCCCGTCACATTTGTCCGTGTTCTTGCTTCAGTTCCGAATCCACCGGAACATGGCCGAGGAACAACGCCACGTGGCTCATAAGCTTGTCCTTCCTCGAGAACCTCGTACCGCACGAGCAAACCCACTTCACCTCTCCGCAATGCTTCTCGTGAGTCCTCAGATCCGACAGAACAGAGAACTTTTTCACGTTGCATCTCCTGCACATATACATCTTCGGACAGTGGCTCCTCTTGTAATGATTCTTCACGCATATCACCGATTTCAATGGCTGAAACCTCTTGTGCCTTTGATTCCATCGACACCCTTCTTGTGGGCACGAGTAGTAAAGCTTCCTGTGCGGAATATCCGTCGTTTTCAAATCTTTATCGCCGTTTTCTTGATCGTTTATTGATCTGTTCATCGGGTTTATCAATGCCTCTCGTGTCTTGTACTCGTCCCCGTGTGCTCTCATGTGCATTCTCAAGTTCGCGTCTCTCTTGAACCCTTTCCCGCAAATCGTGCAGTGATGCGTGTACTTTGCGAGCAGATCATCTGCGTTTAGTTCCACCACTTCGTAGTTCTTGTTCTTGTTCTGATCTTCGTCTGATTTTCTCTTGTTCGTGTTCTTGGAAAGGACATTGTTCTTGCCCGTGCTAGGGTTGTTGGTATCGGTGCCGTACCATTCAAGATTCCGAAGAATCTGGTCGGAGAATGAGATTCGGCCTTCTTCTTGGACGGCAAGAAGGCTGCTTCCTCGCATGAAATCATGATCTGGGTCGATCTGATCTTGTCCGGAAAGTTCCATTACCACCGTCGCCTCGTCCGCGTGATCATCACTTCCGTTGTTCTTGTTGTTAGGTACGACGTCGAACTGTTGGCAAGTGAACATCATGGAGGAAGCTGCGGAGATAATCCCTTGAACCAAAGTCATGACGTCTGCCATGGCCAAAGACCTTGACCCCACCTCACGATGATTGCGATGATGATGATGATCATGATCATGATGGTTATGGGAGATCATGAAGCTCGCGAGGGATTGGATCTGATTCACCTTGTCCTGAATGATGGAAAGGTTGTAGAGAAGAGAGATCGAAACTTCGTCGTCTGAAGATGTCGTCGTTGTCGCATCCGAGAAACAAGACGTCGACGCTCGTGAATTCATCATCTCGATGATCAGTTCAATCACAAAGAAGAAGGTGGAGGAGGAGGAGGAAAAAATTAGGGTTTTGTAAATAATCGCTATTTGACTTTCCCGTAGGGGCCTTTGCTTTGGCAATGTCAAGCTTTCATAATATAGGAAGCTAGAGTTGAAAATGACATCCCACCATCTCACCATATAGTATATATATATATATAGTAGTATAACCACAATATATCTTACCATTTTATTTATTCGTTTCGTTTTTTTACGTCGTTGAATATTTCAAGATTCATGGACCGACCTACATAATAACCTGTATAGAGACGAATAAATCGATACGAGACTATATAGCTTATCGTGGTATAACGTTGCATGAATAATGTTTTCCCTTCGAAACGCATGGTTTCCGGTCCGGTCGATATACAAAAAACTAAAAACTGAAATTTCGAATAAAGACAGTAGTAATACTATTGATATTAATCCATTTAATCGACAAACAGATTAAAATAATATATATATGTATATATATATATATATATATATATATATATATATATATATATATATATATATAACCCAGTTTATGGAGGAAGTCAACTTGAGAGAGTAAAGCTTCGTCCCCACCTAAAACCTACCTCACATAACACCTGAGAATATATACCCTGTCATATACATACATACATACATACATATATATATACACACACCCCTTTGAAGAATACATACAAAGAAGCCCAAACTTCAACTGTTGGAATTTTGGACTTAAACTAATACAAGTTTAGTTCGGGTTAATTAAATATTTAGAACTGTTCCTTCATCCCTTCATCGTGATCTCTATCCGAAACTGATTTTTTTAGTTCTATTTTTTTATATTTTAAAAAATTCAATTATTATATTTTTTTTTATTGGGTTCTCTTCAAATTATATTTTATTTGGATCTCATCACATATTCATTTTGAAACCACAGTCGATCTCTTTTTCTTTTCTTTTTTAATTACTTTTACATTTGATTTTAATTAATTTAATTTAATTTAATAGAAATTATATTAATGATTTTAAGTTCGAATTTAATTCGGATATCATTAAATGTTATTCGGTTGTAGTTAATGGTGTCGATAATTATGGACCGAAATAATAATTACATATGCACAAAGTGAACTTTTTCTTTAAAATCATGGGTATTTTTGTTTTTTGAATATTTATTTAATTAATATTTACTAGAAAATAAAAAAATCTATGAACAAATCATATTTTTTATGATAAAATATACCAAAAAAACGGTTGTTGGCTTTTACGTGGTTTTCTGAAGGAAGTGTCTACCCCGTTTTTAGAAAAAATAAATAAACAAAATTTCGATTGGATAATTTTTGAATTGTTAAATAACAAAAACTGAAAGAAAAAAAAAACTCCATCCAAACAAGACCATAATCTCTAATTAATTTTAGTCATAATCTTTGTGTATGTACAGATGGATGCACACATGCATGAATATAATAAGTGTGTAAACGTGTACTTGCAGGTGTGAATCTTGAGGAATTTTATATAGCAAATGTCTGAATTTGGTCATATGGACATGACATGAGTCGAATTTTTTCAAACAAAAAATAAATATTGCTTTTATCTTTGCCTTATGCATGGAACATTTTATAGTTATTTTTGCAATAATCATGCCCTCACGCTGTTGTTTTAGTTATTGCATTCACGTCTCCAAAGTTTTCAAACACTTATATTTGGGAATATATATATATAATTGTGAAAATAATGTTACACCACCAAATATATAATGGACACACAACAGTTCTTATTTTGAATTATTTAAATCTAGATTTTATTATACAGAAAGTTGTTGAGTCTCAAATTTCTCTCCTTTGGGTTTCTATCATTGGAATTATTAGAAAAACTCCGGTTCATAAAATACAAATTGAATGTCAGTTTGGTTACGCTTTTATATCAATTTGTTGTTAATATTTGTTGTATTGGGTTTTATTAGTTTTCGGTTGTTACGATCAAATCAAACTAAAAATATTTAAATCAAACTAGACTTTCGGATCATAAATTATATAATAAAGTGGAACGAAATGGTTTAGCGAACTTTTTTTTTATATATATATAGAGTTTCACATGTGCATTCCACATTGAATAATTCAACAAGCATGCTGTACATATATATCAACTATGAGAAAGAAAAAGAATGAATAAAAAATAAAATTATACTAAGTACTCATTGCTAATTAATCATCTTAGATACAAATGAATTCATAATATGATTTTTTTATACAAATTTTAAATATATTAGTCGTTCTCTCTGTGATAATTTTATCAGTTTAAAGGCCATTTGACGGTTGATCGAAAGAGAATGCATGCATTCTTGTTTGAAAACACGTATGCACGCTAATATATATATATATATATATATATATATATAATAACGCAGATAAATATATCAATCTATGTTTTAAAAAAAACAGATATTGAATTTTTTATAAAAAAATCAGATATTGAATTTTTAAAAAATAGAAAGGGTTAGTAAAATTAGCTGAAAAATAAAAATGATTATAAAAGTTTGTTGCCGCCCAGGATCGAACTGGGGACCTTTAGTGTGTAAGACTAACGTGATAACCACTACACCACGGCAACAGATAAGAAAAATGTAAATTTATACATATATTTCACTTAATGGAATGATTAGTCGTCGTGATCTGAGATTTCTCCAGAATCGGCGAAGGAAGTCTGATCAAATCATGACGCCGCGTGATTCCGCCGGGATTCGGTTCTCGTATTCCATCCCAACCCGTCCTCCTCCTCTTTGGCCATTTGCTGTTTTTTCGAGTCCGTTGAAGTGGGCGATACGTAAATTAGCAGGAAGAGGTTGCAGCCTGAAACAGGAACCAGAATCGCTGCAGAACCATTCTCTGGACCGTTTGCGCAACAGATGTTTTCCTTTTTTAGGCATTATCATGGGAAACCCAATAGATTTCGTTCCAGTAGTCGTTAGATTCTGCTATCTAACAGTTACAAATATTATCCTTCTGTATAAACAATTCTTGCAGATCCTTCGAGAGCTCCCTTCCACGCTTCCGACAGGTATCAATCCGCTCTTTCTATCTTGTCCTAACTCGTTTCTGGGTCGCTGAAGCCGTCAATGGAGGCTGAGAACGAGAGGATCCTTTACCTGAGAGACACATGGACAGAACAGAACATGATATGTGGTGTTATTCCGATCAACCCTAGCTCCGGGGGGTTATGGCCGTCGCCGAAGCTGAAAGATTCTGAAGCTAACATCGAATTCTGGGATTACACGTTCCCACACTTGGCGATTATATTCCTCGCTGTCTCCATCGTCTGGCAGTTCTTCCATTTCTTCCTCAGGCGTCTTGGCATGACGAGATTCACTTCCCATATGCTTGTGAGTAAAAAAGCCCCTTTTCCGCCTGCAGAAAACAATCAAGAACAAGAAAGGGATAACGAATGGATTTCTTTCTTTGTTCTTCCGCTTGCATAAGCGCATATGATCTCCTTGAACACATCCCTTTGTTTGCCCAAGTCAGTACTTTGGTTGTATCATGTTTTCTTGGGAAAATTATCGGATCAAACTATCCAAAGTTTGCATTTTTCGGTTAGGAGAATGTGAAATTCAAGCTCTTTTTTTCTATGTTGCAGGCTGGGATTCTCCTGAGTAAGACATTCGTGAAGGAAAATACGGCGATTAGGGTTTTCTTCTCGAGCAAGGACTACAAGGAGACGGCTGTCGGTTTAATGGCCGCGGTTTCGTACATCATGTTCTGGTTCTTGATGGGCGTAAAAATGGACATCGGCCTGATTCACAGCCGGGGAAAGAGGGCCATAACGATCGGGGTTTCATCCGTGTTACTCTCGGTATTGGTCTGCTCGATGGTATATTTCGGAAACCTGTGGGAATTCGGATCTAAAGAAGGGAAACCCGACACAAATACTCTTGAAGCCGTCGTGATCTACTCTATCCAATGCCTTTCGTCTTTCCCAGTGGCTGGAAACCTCCTTTTCGAGCTCAGGCTCCAGAATTCCGAGCTTGGTCGCCTCGCCATGTCTTCTGCCGTGATCTGCGATTTCATCAGCGGGATTCTTGCCGCAAGTCTGATTTTCTTGAAGGAACTCAATGACGACAAAGTTCGGATCGGAAGCACGTTCATTGGAGACGTTTTCTATATTGCTCGTCCTGTGAACCGTGCGATCACGCTGGGCGCTTTCCTCTTTTTCGTGATCTATATCTTCCGACCCTTGATGTTCTCCATCATCAGGAAGACGCCTTCAGGACGCCGGGTAAAGACATTGTACATTAGTTTCATCATCGTTATCGTGTTTGGATCGGCCATTGTTGCGAATTGGGCGAAACAGTTTGTCGCCATTGGACCCTTCATCTTAGGGTTAGCTGTTCCGCACGGCCCTCCTTTAGGCTCTGCGCTCATCGAGAAGTTCGAGCCCGCTTTTTTCGGCACTCTTCTCCCGTTCTTCGTGGCTACTTCTGCAACAGAGATTAATATCGGGGCGATACAGAGTTGGAATGATTTCACCAACATAATTTCCATCGTTTTTCTGGCTCTCGTCGTCAAATTCGTGCTCACTGCTCTTCCTGCCCTGTTTTTCCGCATTCCACCTGCCGACTGTTTCGCTCTATCGCTTATCATGTCGTTCAAGGGCATTTTCGAGCTCGGGGCCTACGCCTTGGCGTTCAACAAAGGGGTAAGTCAGTAAGAATAATTCCAAACGCGGTTTTCGATTCGGGTTTTTGTCTCACCGAGCATTTCTTTTGCAGTCTATCCGACCCGAAGTTTTCACCGTCGTGAGCCTTTACATCATGTTGAACTCTGCAATCATACCTCCAATCTTGAGACGGATATACGATCCATCGAGAGTGTATGCAGGGTACGAGAAGAGGAATATGCTGCATTTGAAGCCGAGTTCCGAGCTCAAGATTCTGACGTGCATCTACAGAACTGACGATATCCGTCCAATGATCAACCTCCTCGAAGCTTCGTGCCCGTCTCGGGAAAGCCCTATCTCGGCTTACGCTCTTCACTTGATGGAACTGGTCGGACAAGCGAATCCGGTATTCATATCTCACCAGATGCAGTCAGGAAAAGCCGAGGACATTTCTTATTCAGACAACGTCGTCGTCTCCTTCGAACAGTTCCGGAACGATCACTACGGATTCGTCTCGGTAAATATTTACACGGCATTATCCGTTGCCGGGACGATGCACGACGATATCTGCTTGCTGGCGCTTAACAACCGCACGTCGTTGATCGTCCTTCCGTTCCACCAGACGTGGTCGGTCGATGGCTCGACGATTATTTCGGACAGTAGTATGATTCGGGAGCTGAACAAGAGCGTTCTCGAGCTCGCTCCCTGCTCTGTCGGGGTATTCGTCTACCGAAGCAGCTATGGTCGAAAAACGATCCGAGACACTGTCTCGACCCACTCCTCCTCCTACCAAGTCTGTATGGTTTTTCTTGGCGGAAAAGACGATAGAGAAGCCCTGATCTTAGCGAGACGGATGGCCCGAGACTCGAGGATTAACCTCTCCATTGTCCGACTGATCTCTCCAGAGCAAAAGATCAGAGAACAGATGGATTGGGAGAGCATGATCGATTCCGAGCTACTCAAAGAGGTGAAGAAGAACACGAAAACGAACTCCGAGATTCTGTATACAGAAGAAGTCGTCCGAGATGCGACAGAGACGTCGGAATTGCTGAAATCGATGGCGAATGATTACGATTTGTTCATCGTCGGGAGAGGGAAGGAAAGAGAGATGAGCATGACGGATGGGTTAGAGCAGTGGAGCGAGTTCAGCGAGCTTGGAGTGATCGGAGATTTGCTGACATTAAGAGATTTCGAATGCCAAGCTTCTGTGTTAGTGATACAGCAGCAACAACAGATGATTTAGGGTTTAAAAACTCGTTTACGGACATAACCGCAGGCCAGGACACGGAAACCCAACACAGAGGGGTTGTTCCCAGCTTGTGGGTAACAAGATTGATCTGTAATAATGGAAGATTTGAGTTAGTTTTTGTTACGAATTTTTAGATAAGATCCCACATGTTAGGATCGTGTATACAATTAGAAATGCAAAATCCGATAAATTTGTATCCTGGTGGAGGAATACACAGTTCGGTGCATATAAGAATATGAGAGCAGGTGACCGATTTTTTTTTTTACAAAAAAAAAGCTTTCTTGAGCTACAAGTAATATCGATACAGTGGTTTGGGGTTCAATCAACATTGATTCTGGCATTTATTTTAGGGTTCAATCAAGATAATATCGCTTAGTGTGTATATATATATATATATATATATATATATATATTATGATATGTTAAATTTAGCATATGAATTGATCACGGTAGGACTCCATAAACTATCGTCGGTCCAATCCAAAATTATGTAAATCTCCACCAGTCATATAAACTACAACAAATATATATGCCAAGCAAAACTATTGGTTGTATATAATGTGGGTACGTGGGGTGGGGTCAATTTCACTTGGATTCTAAATAATTTGGTATATAAAAATTATAATTAATTATATTTGTTGTCACGAAACTACTTTATTACTTTTTCTTCTAAAGAGTTTTGTTGTACGATCGGGAAATTTATTGACTGGAAAAGCAATTTTAGTAACAATTTTGAAATAATTTTAATAGACAGAAGGTAGGGTTTGCTTTAATACTTTGCTTCAATTATAAGTTCAATTAATAGTACAATTACTATATCTTTTCTATCAAGCATTATGAAATATATATATATATATATATTTTTTTTTTTTTGATAACCAGGATAGTTCTTCGGGCCTTCGCCCCGACTACATCCACTTGGATCCGGGACCAGCTTTTGTATATGGACTATTTTAATCTAGAAATTACATCCCTCTCCACCAGTGGAATCGAACCCAAGATCTTGAGGATGAATTTGCCACCTCTCAACCACTGGGCCACCAACTGTTGGGTATTATGAACTATATATATATAAAAGTTCAATTAATATATATCCCGTGCCTACAAATACATTCAAACGGTTATCCTGTATTTTATAACGTATTTTTATAACTTTTATTTTTAATATAGATGAACACACTATAATGATAGCACATGTCAAAATAATCTATCCATCTCTATAGTTATCGACATATTTAAATCAGTAAAATTGGATTCATGTACATTCGTAGCATTAAGGTTAAACTAACTTTTAGACTAATTTAGATAAGGATAATAAATTTAATATTAATTTTATAAAATATATCTCTAATACAATCAAACTAATACATTTTATTTGTTTAATATCATATTAATTATTTTCCTGAAATATTTATTTTATAGATCCATCGTTGATTACACCTATCATGGTTGGCATGCAGAGTTATGTGGGTTCTTTTTTTCTCCTCACTTTTTTTGGGCTAATAGACTAATAAATCATTTTTTATTGTAAGTTAACGAAATAATATTCATTAATTAAAAAGTATAGTTTTCATCGTAAATCTGAATATTCTAATTTATTCAAAAGAAAGGAGATTTAGTGAAAGGAAGTGTGATGAGACAGAAATAAGAGTGGGACAATCATTACTGTGCTAATGTTTAACATATATATATAATTATAATATAAAATTTACTATAATAATTACGTGACAGAGATCCGGATCCAGATTTTGAGGACCCACCCGACCCGACAAAGCAGAGCTTTTGGACCTTGGTTGTTGGCCTCACCCAACAACTTCTCACCCAAAACAACTAAAAAAAAAATTATTGATACGTGAAAAAAAAAAACAAAAATATTTAATATTTCATAATATATATATATATATATATATATATTCAAGTCCCAAGTCAAGATTGTGCAAACTCCCAACAAAACTATACATTACAACGGACTATATAACATAACACAATACATCACATTACATGTAAACTCATAAACCCAAATGATGTTTGGAGAAAAATGAAGAACAACACACACACACAAAAAAAAAACAAGAAAAAAACCATTGCCACTTCACATCATGCATCCAAATCATGAATGTGAAATTGGATTTAGAGAGATTTAACAAAAAAAAAAAAAAGGCAGCAAACTCTCACTTAGTAGTAACTCATGTTTTTCAGTTTGAGTTAAACCAGGGGAGGTTCAGTTCCTCTTTCTTCCCCATCGCTCTAAATCTAAAACCCTAATTCTCTGGCCTGAGAATCTTTCTTCACCACAGTTGAGACCCTATGTACAGACTTGACTAAAATGATCACCACTCTCGCTGGAAAACCCTAATTGAGACCATTACTGAAAGGTGATTGGTATTATATATGGTGTATATTAGAGACTATTAGCACTACATGAGTAAGGATAAAGATCAGTTGCTAGGGTTTTTCAGCAGCCATTGTTGTCGAATTCCTGGTCAATGAAGAAGAACTTTCTGACACTTCGTCTCTGCGGGAGAATACGACCCGTCAGAGAATACCCTTTTCCTGTTGAATTTGCCACAGCCGTTGTTGACAATTGGACCTTGAAACTGCGAAGTAGCCGGTGGAACGGTCACCGGAGGGATCTCGAAGGTTTCGAGAGGCGGTGGCGGGTGGCGCCACTGAGGCAAAGGACCGGCTAAGAGGAGTGTCTGAAGCAGAGGACCTGCTTTGAGAACAGCTTGCAAAAGCTTGCCCTTTTCGGGCAATGGCTTCTCTGGCAGTAACGAGGGTATGATCTCGGTTCCGGCAGAAGATGGGTTGGTCACCGGATCAATCACAGTTGGTGAAACGATGCTATCTTCGCAATCCGATGATGAGAAACTCTTGTCAGACCCGAGCTGTTGCGGCTGGGGCTGGACTGACACTTCGTCTCTGCGGGAGAATACGACCCGTCAGAGAATACCCTTTTCCTGTTGAATTTGCCACAGCCGTTGTTGACAATTGGACCTTGAAACTGCGAAGTAGCCGGTGGAACGGTCACCGGAGGGATCTCGAAGGTTTCGAGAGGCGGTGGCGGGTGGCGCCACTGAGGCAAAGGACCGGCTAAGAGGAGTGTCTGAAGCAGAGGACCTGCTTTGAGAACAGCTTGCAAAAGCTTGCCCTTTTCGGGCAATGGCTTCTCTGGCAGTAACGAGGGTATGATCTCGGTTCCGGCAGAAGATGGGTTGGTCACCGGATCAATCACAGTTGGTGAAACGATGCTATCTTCGCAATCCGATGATGAGAAACTCTTGTCAGACCCGAGCTGTTGCGGCTGTGGCTGCGGCGGTGGCTGAAGTTGCTCGTCTTCAATGCTTGAAGCTCCCGACAATGGCGGAGGGATATGCTTCTGCTGTTGCTGCTGCTGCTGCTGCTGGAGTAGGAGGTTGTCATAGATGAGGCGTTGGCATTTCTCGAGTGCTTCGTCTCTTTCCTTTATGGTTTTGGTTAGAATATCTTTGAGGTGAGTCAATTGTTCATCTCTCTTCCTCAATTCCTCATGAGCCACCATTTTTGTTTGTTCTAGCTCCAGTGTAGTGTACAGAAGAGTCTGTCTTAGTTCCTCCGTCGTCTGAAAATGAAAATAAACAAAACCCAGAGAGAATCAGACACCCAGTCTTCGATTCTGACTCAAGAGACGATGAAATAAGAAAGAGCAGAGGCAACCATTTGATTGCAGCCAAACCAACAAGGTAACAACATTAGGGTTTTGTAAGAAAACTAGAAACACAGGAAAGGAAAAAGCAGACCACACAAACACAAAATGCCTCAAAGATCTGATCTTTTTCAGCTAAATAATCATAAAAGCTAGAAAAGATGTGAAGCATTTGTCGCTCATTGTGGAGAATTAAGCTTAAAATCAGTAATTAAGCTCAATTTCGGAGCAGATGCAGTAAAGATATTATCTTTTCAGCTAAATCGCCAAAGTAATCCAAAACCCATCAAGGATTAGGCACCCAATTGCAGATTGAGACTAGCCATGACGCAAAATCAAGCCGAGAGAATCAGCAATTGGACACGAACAAGGGTTTGCCACGGAGCAAAATGCAAGGGTAACACACAAACAGGGAAAGACTGAAGTCGAAATTCATCCCCCTCAAGAAATTTCTGATTCTTGACACCCATTACGCGTCAATTGAGCAATGTAGGGGGAAAAAAATCAAAGAGCAGAGATGACCCAAAAAAACCTAAACCCTGCAAGGGATTCGAGGAAAACAACGATGTTTTACCTTTCCATGAGAGTAGTAAGCCCAGCTAAGAAGAGCATTGCTTTGATTATCCATAAATCCCAGATTATTAACCCTAATCCTTTGGATTATCTAATTAGAGAGAGAGAGAGAGAGAGAGAGATGTGAGTTATGGGAATGGAGGTTTTTGGGAGGGGATTGTAGCGTCGATGCTAAAGCATGGAGCTTTCATGTTAGTCCTATTTAATGTCCGGTTTGTCTGTCTCCAAAAGCCAAGTAAATAGAAATTCCGTAATTTTGCATTCTCGTACTACTCATTTGCTCCTATGCGTTTATATTCAGAATCTCTTTTCAATAAATTGTCTTTCGGTTATAAACAAAAGATAATTCGACAAAAAAAAATTTGGTTTTTTTTTTTATATAAAAATTTTCAATTTGTAACGAATCGTTACGAATGGTTTGAAATTGTTGTAAATTTCAGAGAGAGTTAACTCAGAACCGAAACGAATGGAAACGAATAATTCATGCGACCGACTCCAAATAAATTTGGGATCAAAACGGTGTTGTTGTCCTTGTTGATATACAAAATTTTCACCCGGTGGCTAAATTTCGGCTAATTTCTAATATTTCTATAGAAATATGATCGAATGAAAACCCGTGTGGTTCCCCCAAAGGCTATAAACAATTATTTGTCAAGACTGTTGGGCTATTTATGTTTCATTTTCCGTTAGAAAAAGTTTTTTTATAAGCAATAATCTTTACATTTTTTTTGAGAAAATAATGAATTAAAAACAGAGTTGTGTTATTAGGTGTAACTCTAAAATTATTCAAAACAAGATATTCGAATGATGATTAAAAATTAGGATTTTTAAAGCTTTTTTTAATTTAAAATATTTTTAATATTCTTTAAAAAATTATAAATATTATTAATATCAATTAAAACTATAAAATTATTTTTATTTTTACGAAATTTGAATTCGAATATTTATAAATAGACTAAAACCACAAAAATAAAATTAGATTTTAGATTTTAAATCTTTATATCCGTAATATTTTCATATAAATTCGAATATCCTAAAATTTTCGATAATAAATTTTAAAAAATGACCGTAATTAACGTACCATTAGGGGCCAATATAATTGTTTTGGACTTTATTTTTGTAGTTTTTTTTTTTTTGCGCTTTTGTTTCGTTTCTCAACTCGCTCTATCTGTCTGCTCTACATCGCTATATTGCTAGGGTTTGGTGTAAGACCGACATCGTGAGTTTACTTGGTCTCTCTCTCTCTCTCTCTCTCTCTCTCTCTCTCTCTCTCGTTTTTCTTTCTTCTTTGGATGCAATTTCATTTCTTGTCTTTTTCCATGAAAAACGAACACACTAAGTTCCTTATCTCACCGAGAAGAGCGGGACAGCCAATGCTTTTAAACTATATATATATGGAATATATATATATATATATATATATACATGTATATATAGATATCCATTCCCAAGTTCAATGTCGAATGTGTTTAATTATTTTTATTTATTTATATAAAATAAACTATAGAATTCGTTATCTTTGGTAGTATAATAATAATAACGTTCTCTCGTGATTCTTGATTTTCTGTCACGAATACAAGATTTCATGATGTATCTAACGATATTTTTATTCATATATCTTGGAAAAAAAAAACCAGTTATAATCTTGCTATAGGCCACTGATTTTTATTATTATTCTATTTTGTTTTATTGACAAGACGATAAAAGCATTTAATGGAAAACTTTATTTAGTATTTACTACTCTCCACTCTGTTTCACATTGCTTTTTTTTTTTATTATTATTTTTGTCGCCTTCAAAACCTCGAATAAGTTATATTTTTACGTATTTATTGAAACTAATATCTTCTTATACTATTAGATTAATTTATAATACATGAAAAAAACAGGAAAAAAATAATGCGAAATTTTGTTGGTATTATTCTTTTCTTTCCCTCAATATCTATGGTATTCGAAATGTATGAAACTTGTATATGAAATTAGTACGTAAATCTGTTAAAAAAAAGAAATATAATTATTCAAGAGAGTGACTCAACCGATAAGGAAGAGAGTAAAACTTCTTTCCAATCCGAGTTCAAGTCCTCATTTGGGGAGAGATATTCACATAGATTTCTTGTAACGACTCGATGCCGCTACGGAATGGTAGAGTTGTCCCCACACACCAACACGAGATCTTTTAGCGTGTTTTGTCATCACTCGCATACATCCCGAAAAGTACTTCCCATGAGGTCACTCATCATAAGACTACTCCAAGGCTAACACGCTTAACTTTGGAGTTATCTCGAAATGGGCAACCAAAAAGATAGATGCATGTTGTTGTTATGAGTAGCTCAATCAATTCTTTTAAGTTATCTTTGACTGGGTAGTCACATACCTACACAGAATTGGATCCCTCTCATTCTGGTGCGTTCGATTCATTCCTGTACCCCCAATCCAGAAGCTCGTCAGGAGTCGCCCCTTATCCATGCCTTTCGCACCGACGATCACTTCCCACCCTCCTACGGTATTCTGGGTTGTCACACTTCTCCGATTCTTTGGGTGATATAGTCGGATCAAAAATCCGGTGAACTTCCGGATTATAAAAAAAATAACTCTTGCTTTTCAATATTATAGTTCAAAGAATTTGCTAACTTCAACGACAATAAATTATATACAATTTTTATGAATTCAAATAAATAACAACCGAAATATGATAATCTAATCTATCCCTAATTTATAAGTTTAGTAAGTTTTTTTGTCTTCCATTATTTCAAAGAAGATCCAAATTGTTCTTTTTACAAGGTATGCATGCATATCCCAATAAAGGCGTGTTTTTTTTTTGTATTTGTTTAAATGCAGGAAACACAAATTATCCACAGCATGCATTTTTTGACAAATTCATAACATTTTGCATAAAACAAAATACAATTATATACTAAACGACATGCGAGAATTTGTCTAAATCTAATGGATCTTTTTTTTTAATACTCAGTAGCATGTATATTCCCAACATCTTGTAGCAATTTCACCTCGGAAATTTATAAATTGAACTGAAAAATAAGTTTTATTTAATTATTAAATTTATCGAGTCAATGCTGCGTGGATTCCATTGTCAGCAAAAGAAGCTGGTAACCGAACATTTCCCACCAATAATGTTTTTTTCCCTAAAAAAAAAAAAGTTGATGGAAGCAAGTCTCTCCATACACACTATTAGTCACATCTTGCCCTCTTTCTCTTTGCATTTCTTTTTTAAAAATTAATTTACTTTGTAAAACTAAAACAAGAAAAACATATAAGAAATTAAAATACATGAAGGATATATATATATATATATATATATATATATTGTAGAATAATTATAATATTTTTACTGAGTGACACTCTATATAGTTATTAGTAATTTTTTATTTGTCAATCCATTGTAAACAATAAATTAAAATAACAAAATAAATAACACAAAAATTTGTGTTGTCTAAAATAGTAACTAAATAAACCGATTTTACAATATATTTCCATTAACTCTTTTTTTCGGGTAAAGATCGTTTATAAATTTTATAAAAAAAAAACAATAGATGAAAAATCACCGGAAAATATTAGTATAGATGTTATTCTTCAGTAAAAAAATTTAATGTTTGTAAAACAAAAAGATTAATTAATGCAATGCATGTATGAAAGTAAAAAAAAAAGGGAAGAAGAATAAGAATAAGAAGCAAATAACTTTTGCCGCAAGTGGAAGCAAGTAGAGAAAGTAGATATCTCTATTTTTGGTCCACGGGGCATGTGATGACATAATAATGATTATAATCATAATGGGTATCACATGGTAATTTATATTAATTATGATAATTATTATTTATATAAATAAAAATTGGGTAAAGGAGAGACTCCCCTCTCTCTCTCCTTCTAGAATAATATATATATATATATATATATAGAGAGAGAGAGAGATGTATGGATATTTAAGGATCAAAGGAAGAAAATAAAAACATATATTTAAAAAGGAATACCATGTAACAAAAGGAGGGGGACAAAATTATATCATTTCATGGTCTCTTGTACCAGCATTATCACCTAAGAGCATGTTAACCATTTTTTTGGTATATTTAATTCTTAAATCTTTTTTATGAAATAACCCAAATATTAAATACTCTCGCCAATAATTACATCAATGTATTTACTTAAGATTAGTTGGGTTTTGTTTAAGTTTAAAGTTCGAGTATATGCCTAAGATTTATGATATTACTATATATGATTTATAATGAAGTTATTTTTCATTTATTTATGCATATTCTTATAATATTTATATAATAACAAAATTATATAACGGATAAATAATCAACAACAGCACGTGGAACAACAAAATTTTGCACCGTTTTAGTGTTGTTTTGTTCATAATTCTTTCATAGGCTTTTGTTCAATTTCGTTTTATCCAAATAGTTTCTCTTAGTTTTACTTATAACCGAAATCAACTGTATTTTATCTTGATTCAATCTCTTAACATTAACTAAAACAAAAAACATTCAAATGTTTCGATATGAAATATAGTAAATCTAAAATTCTTTACCCAATCTGGATAGTTCAACCGGTGAAATGGGGGCGCAAAGTGTTTGTCCTACCCCGAGTTCGAACCTCAGATTGGGGAGGGATCGCATAATTCAAATATATACGATTTGCATATATACACACACATATATATACAGATAAACGATGGCCCACATTATCCAATACCTAGTATAATTACTGCCTCGTAACTATGATCTTGTTGGCAATACACACAACATATATTGATGGGGGTTTGGAAGTGTGTTCAAACGCCAACCCTATATAATGCGTCGAGACATGCTTTGATTACATTATCAATACACACACACATCATATATATATATATATATGTATATGTATGTATATAAATATATATGTGTGTGTGTGTGTGCAGTGTTAAAGGAACAAATTTAGGTGAGTTTAATACAATCAAGAACCTTATGGAGTCATTAAGGTAACCAACCAACGGCATATTTTGTCGGCCAATTTTTAATTTATAATGATGAAATAAAGAGAGCGATTATCAAATATGGCTCGGATGAATCTTACCATAAAGACAGAAGAAAGAAAGAAACTAACCGAATTTTCGGTTTTTGGCAGTTAAAGAGGAATTGATTCTTTAAAGTGCCCTTGATACTATCATGCCACGTCAATAGCAAAGATTAAAAAAAAATATTAATTTTATGTATTTTTTATCGTATTATTAATGATTTTGATAATTTTGTAATCGTTCTATGTATAGATATAGAAACACACATATATGGAATGCCTATCATGTGATTCTTTTGACTAACACTTTGAGGGAAGGACTTATGGAAGAAAATTAGACACTAGAAGCCATAAAACCAAACATTAGGTTCGGTTATGTCATAAGCCGGTTAGCCCTCCCGGTCTTAATTCAAACGGTCGGTCCACGTAAAATAGTTGAATTAATAATATACACATATATATTAATATATATTATGCTGCGTGTTACTGTCAAAATAATTTACGGATGCGAAATTTAACTGAATGGAACTTTTTCGTGCTTTTTTGTAGTGCTCCTAGATTTTATTGGTCTCCAGTGGGTCCAAATAAAAACACTTTTATGGATTCCAACCTTTTATTATTTTACATTTAACAAGAAACCGTGTGGGTCCATATCACAAAAATTTATTTAAAAATGGGAAAATATCATTTAAATTTTAATAACGAAAAATGGTCCGTCAGCCTCCTTATTATAATTAAGGACTTTTGGTGGGAGGTCAATTCCAAACCCAACCATATCATATCATGTTCTGGATCTCTGGAACCCCCATGCGGTCGTTATTTACGAAAGTTTCAATAACAAAATAAAATAATAGAAAAAAATCTTCCAAAAAGTAAAGTCCATATTTTTATAATCATACGTAATTTAATCCCAAAAAAGAAGGAATAAATAATAAATAAATGCTCGTCTTAATTAACATTACCCTCGTTGAGCAGCCGTGAGAATTAAATAAATAAATGAATATGCGAATAATACACCATCGTTGAAAATTCAATACATGAAAAAAAGTATACGGTATTTTTTAATCACTATAAATAAAAAAAATTATAACGCTACATTACAAAAAGAAAACAGAGCAGTAAATGTGAATTCGCATTTGTCCCTTTCTGACTTTGTTTTTTACCAAAAAAAAAAATTAAAAAAAAACTACGGCAATTGGAAGATGTAAACATTACGAAAATATCCATATTTTTATAGAAAATATAAAACACGTGTAAACGATCGTTTCCTCTTTCTTAACATTTTTAAAATTTTAAATGAATTCGTAATCTCTAATCAAATATGGAAATGCCTGTTAGATGGTTCGCAATTATAATAAGCTTTTCATTGAATTTAACGGAACGTCGCAAACACGTAGTGAAAAGTTGGATGAAAGGGATGTTTATTAGATTATTCGGATATGTGATCTTCCGACTAAGTAATGCAAATCACTTTCAATGGATTAACAATTTTATCTTTTGCTAATTACATATTAATTAATTAATTAGGCGATTAATTGTACATGAAGCTAAAAACAACAATCCAAGCTAATGAACTTTGGGTGTGCGTGTGTGTGTATATATATATATATACATATTTGCGATGTATCCAAAATCTACGTTTCTATAAAATAAAATCACTGTTCTACCTAATCGGTTTATAATTAACTTCAAATTCGTTTATTAATATTTCATTTGAATTTAAAATAATAACTTGAAAATATGGTGAATTAAAAAGCAATACATTTTGGCCGATTGTGGAATTTTCAATGGGATTTTCGGGATTTTGTTTCGATATTTAGGACAATTTATTTGTACTTATTAAAGAATGTCTTTGACTAACAAGCCCTCCTCACATGGCTCAAACAATTTAGTAATCTTATATATATATATATATATATATATATATAAAACCAATAGTTACATTGGAAGATTTCGATTCATGTTGTGTTTATATATATATATAATATGGTATTAAGAAAATTTTAAAATAATTAAAATAAATGTAGAGTTGCAATACCATTTTTAACCTTAAATGTTTCTTATACTAAAATATAATTTATAATAAATACAATCGTATAATTTAGGCAGACTAATTATCTAACTAATCATCTTATGGTGAAGCTATGAGAAAATTAATTTTCACAGCACTATTATTGGAGATGGATATTATGCTTATTTTGTAATAATAATAATAATAAATAAATAAATAAATACATGCATAATTTAGGAGACTTTGCTAACAAGAAAAACTGAAAGCCCAACAATCAATTATCATGGGCTTGTTGTAAATGACCCAACTTTATTTGTACATTTTGTAAATTTAGATAATTCTAAAAAAATTCCCTTTATTTCAAGATTGCAATGAAGCCCCTAAGAAAGATGCATCTAAATACGTTATCAATGGTAATTCTGAACTTCATGGAAACCGACATAAATTTAAATTTAAGTTTAGAAACAATAACAATTTGGTAAATATAGATAATTTGATTTCTATTTTTATAATTTTCGGATATCTGTCGCCCAAAATTGCAACTAGAATCTAATCCGGATAAATTTCATCACCAAAAACGATTTCGATACAACATCGCCCGAATATCTAAATTTTTTTTTATATTCAATCTACGGATCTAATCAATTAATAAGTTTATGTGAAATTATACAATTTTAATAAGTTTAGGGGCCAAAAAATTAAAACAAAAAAAGTTGGATGCTGCGAATCGTGGACGATAACTTTTTCTGCGTAGACTTTGATTCCTTTCCTCGTGATTTATTTTTCCTCTGGGCGTTGTTTGTTATAATTTGATCTTATATCACGACGAAATATCTTCTGGGTTCAGAAGAAGAACCCTAATCCGTGGATAAGGAAAAGGAGAGAAAGCTAAGGCAACGATGGAGAGAGTGATGAAAATCATAAAGCCGAAGCCTGATCCGAAACAGCAGCTTCGAGATTGGCAGCGGAGACTACGCCAGGAGTGCCGTAACATCGAACGCCAAATCCGTGGTTATTTCGATATTCTATGTTCTTCAAGTGTTGCTAATTGCTTTTATCGGATGGAATCGCTGGTGGGTGTCCCTTATTTAGGGTTTTTGAAGTTTAGGTTTAGGAAAAAGTTTGGAATTTGGGTGAATCCGGGGTCGAGTAGATGATGATTCGGATAGCTGGTTGTCCTCGATTCTAGGGTTTTGAACATTTTCGATCGTTAATCTCCAAAAGTATGTAGTCCTTTTTTCTCAGTCGAGTTGATCACATGATGATCATGATTGATGGGTTTTCTTAGAAACAGGTGATTGAACAGCGTCTCTGTTCTTCTGATGGTTTGCTTTCATCTTATGGTTCTTTTGGTGTGGATTGTGGATTAGGGTTTTAAAATTGATAGTTTCCATTTCAGATATACAGAGAGAAGAGAGGAATGTACAGAAAGCTATCAAGGATGCTGCCAAGCGGAATGACATGGTCTCTGCTAAGGTAAACATAATCGTGGTTCTCCCGTTAGTGCCCAGAAAATACTATCTTTTTTAGGAATCCTCGATTCCTTGCTTAAGTATCTTGGAGATTCTGTTAGGGCGATAATAGTCTAACGATTAAGGCGTTTGAAGGTTGATTCTTATCAGGAATTTTAGTTTTTGGGTCCATAAGAATTACTTGTCCGAAGTTTGCTCGTGGATGATAACCGAGATTATTGAGATAAACCCTTTTTGCCAATGCCATTGATGGGAATCTAAAAAGTATATTGTCTTTCACCTGAAACCTGAACTTTTTGAAGAGGAGAATTGTTTGAGCAATGTCCTTGCTATTGTTCAGCTTATCAAAACAAATATCAAGGGATGACAGGGTATTAAATCGCATCAGGGTCTGGGCTCAGTAAAATCTGATGTTTGGTTAAAGAAAATTAAAAGTTCCAAGTCTTTAGTTTCATTATTTTCTGATACCCTTATGTTTGATGACTGATGTTACAGGCACTTGCCAAAGAAATTGTGGGTTCGAGAAGAACAGTTAACCGACTTTATGAAAACAAGGCTCAGCTGAATTCAATAGCAATGCACCTCGGGGAGAGTGTTGGTATAATGCTTCAGTGATCTATTCTGAGGGTTTCCTTTCCCATTGTCATGCCACATCACATATTTGTTTACGCATTCGTGTCATTCCGGTTGCTCTGCAGCAATTGCTCGTACGGTCGGGCACCTGTCTAAGAGTGCCGATGTTATGAAGCTTGTCAATAATCTCATGAAAGCTCCGGAAATGGCTGCCACGATGCAGGAATTTAGCAAAGAGATGACTAAGGTACGCTTTGTATAGCTTTCAAACATAGTCTAGGATCCCTTTTCTGTGTAGAGTGAATAGATGATGCATAAGTGCAAGTACTCATGTTTCTCTCGTATGGGTTTTGCTCATAATGGTGAAAACGTGTACTCTCTCGTGTTGAATTTCCAATCTCACCGAACATACGATCATACGAAAAATGCAGAGATGGTCCGAGGGAGGGAGAGACAAATTTTGCTTTCTTAAACTATCATATCATAGTATTGGATCATTAGTTCCTAGGCGCTATATATCTCATCTTACATTGAAATTTGATATATTCCAGCGACTGATGATGTTATGTTATGCATGGATGAGATATGTAGGCTGGAGTTATCGAAGAGTTTGTGAACGATGCGGTTGACACTGCCCTAGACTCCGAGGATATCGAGGAGGAGATAGAGGAAGAGGTCGATAAGGTATTGACGGCTATAGCGGGAGAGACGGCTGCAGAGTTACCCGACGCAGTCAGGAAGGAAAGGGTAAAGACTCCGGCTCAGAAGGCGGGTCCTTCCCGCGAGGTAAACGACTTCCGCATTTGCATTCCCGTGGAATTCATAATGACAGTGATGGCATTGGCTTAATGTTTGATTGTTTTCCATATGAACACAACACTGATGAAAAAAAAAACATTATGATGGGGTTTTTTTTTTGCAGGAAGAGGCCATTGCAGAAGGGGTTGATGATGAAGAAGAACTCGAGGAAATCCGAGCTCGTCTCGCCAAAGTTAGATCCTAACCCTTTTTTTTTTGTATGAATCAAGACTGTATTCTTGATCAATCTCCAAAAACTCTTTTTAAAAAAAAAGAAGAAGAAAAGATCAAGATAATCTTGAATGTGCGATGAAATTATAACTCAAGTAAATAGAAATGTTTAGTTGTAATTAATAAAATTATTCTAAAAGAAATCGCCATTTTACCGATAGATATCCGAATATTTACAATAGCACGAATATTCGAATATTTATTTAAATACCCATTAGCAATGAATTCGAAATAAAATTAAATAAACTCTAAAACTCGAATAAATCATATATTTAAAATCAGACAATCTCAAAATCTCGAATAGCCAGTCCATAAAACCTGACAAAGACAATGTTTTGGAATGATTTGTAACATAAGTCATTGCCATTAATATGCACGTTTTAATATTAATTAACAATCCTCGCAGTTGTGATAATTTCTTTAGGAAAATACGAATGATACCAAACAGCCAAATTAAACTACACACACGTTGGGTCCACATTATTTGTAAAAAAATTAATAATATTGATAATAGTGTGTATATATGTACACTATAGTTTTAATTTGATATTTAAACATATGATCTGCAAACTTTGTTTTAACAGCCTGGAAAAATTTAATTAGCTTGCCAACCGTTGAGGAAAAACCAGAGTTAGATCAGACGCTTTTGTCTTGTGTGGTATTTATCATCCAATCATCTTTTGACTCCGAATATATCCTATTTCCTTACAAATTTTAACATTATTATCAGGATCTTAATTTATGCATATCTTAATTTTCATATGTATAAAATAATAAATTCCTAAAACCCAATGATTGTACTAAGTGACCATTTTTATACTACACCTCCCCCCCTAAATACACTATATGGAGCATAATGTTGTCATTAGGTATTGAGTTCCATCCGTCGGTCCAAAATTCACATTTTGAGTTGATCATATATACATATATATATATACATATATATGCACAACTATTTAAGCAAATAAATCGTGCATGTGTCCGTCAAACGTGAAACACATTGAATTACTATTGAGTTTTAAGCAAGTTTTGCTAAATGTAATAAATGGAACACCTACCATTGGTATGTCAACTCGATTATATAATGCATTGGTTCCTGGAATTTCACAAAAACGGGCGTTTTTTTTTTGTCACTTGCAATCAGAGACACACCTAATGCCCATTGGTCCGACCTCTGTATTACTTCTGTTTCCATGTTCACTTTATATGTATTACAATAAATGCGATATCACGAAGTTCAAATTTAATTTACTTATTATATATATATATATATTGACTAAATCAATCCAAGAATCCAATGTCCATCACCAACAGTACGTAAGATCTGGAGAAAGTTGGAATGTTTTGTTTCTGATCACTGGTAATTGTGTATGTGTTGAGTCTTCAGCAAATACTCTGAGCGAAGAAGAAGGTTTCAAAGCTTCGGGTTCGGTCAGAGGGTTCCAAAACGCGGAGGGGCAATTCGGTCATTTGGTTCTTTAGGGTAAATGAAACCCTAATGTTTGTTTGAGTCTCAGACTTCTGCGTTTTTCGGTTTTTTGGTGGTTTCTCTCTCTAGGTCGGCGAACTTGTGTTCTCCGGTGTTCGGGGTCGATTTTCCGGTCGATCTCCGGCAGCTCTCTTTGTGTAACCCTAGCAAACGCTGTTCCTCTTCCCGAGACGTAGGTATCGAGTGTTAGAGCTCGATACTGAACTCGTTATTCCGCTGTCTCGTTTTTCTTTCTGTTCTTGAGAGAATCGGAGAGATCGGTGAGGGATCGAGGTCGGGCAAATACTCTACAAGTGGTATCAAGAGCCTGGTTGAGGCGAGTTCTGGTGGTTTCATCGGCGATTCGAAGCCGAGGTAAGATCTGCTACGTTTTTTTTTCTGGATCTGAACTTTCTGATCGGTGTGCGAGGTGTTTCAGGCGTCTGAAACTAAGTCGAAAGAACCATCCCGTGTGAGATCGGCGGTCTGCACCGGTGGGAGAAGCTCAGATCGGCGGCGAAGAAAGGTAGGTTTTCCGGATCTGTCTCGGACTGAGTTACTCAGTCGAGTACAGAGTCCAAGGAGGTGAGTTCGCTCAATTTGGTTAGATCTAGGGTTCTGGGGGGGAGAAACCGGTGAAAACCGGTGGTTTCCGGAGAGTCTTGGCCGTGACTCGTTCGAGTCGCGACTGAGTCGTCTTCGGGGTTGAGTCAACGTCCGAGTTGGCTCGGGTTAACTCGGCGGCTTCCGCGTTCCGAATTAGGGTTTT